GATGAGAGCCAACCACTGCAAAAATGTAAGCCGTATCACGGAGGAGAAACACAATGCGAGGTGCGGCTTGGTGGCAGGCATGAAAGTCATTGGACAAGTATTTCTGCCAAGGGAAACTTACACTGTCCACTATACAGTGAAAAGGAAGGTTTGAGCGGGGTTGAAACCTATCTGATTGGTACAGGTTTGAAGACAAAGGTATTTGGAGTCTATTGTTCTAGACTTGAGAGTCCGAACATATACATCAATATCAGCTTTCACTCAGAAGGATTGAAACCCTCCGACGTTGTTTTTTAATCTCACATCTTCAGGCCCTTATCCCTGATCCATACTGACTGATCAATCATCCTTCATTGTGCTATGTCCTTGCTATACGGACAGCGATGATATTAAGACTAAGAAAGTAAGAGAGATCTGAGATCTGACCGACAAACCTGCTTTGGCACTTTCATCAGAAGAACTCACAAGACAAGCAACTCTTCGAATCATACTTGTCACTGATGTCTATACCAGAAACATCATTTCATGCAGAGACAGGAAAAGGATCTACTTGGACAAGTCTGCCTTCATTTTGTTTCCTCAGAATGACTTGGCACCAGAAAAGGCAACTTGTCATCCGCTCTCCTCCCCGACACAGTTCCCGTGGCTGCGACAGCTCTGGGGTCTGCGACCGTTTCGGTCCGTCACCTCCACGGAGGCGCCGGACCTCAGCAGCAGCGCGACCACCTCGACGTGGCCCTGCTTTGCCGCCCAATGCAGCGGCGTTCGGCCTCGGCCGGGAGAGGCGGCCACGAGGCTCGCCCCACGGGGTCAAGGCGTGAGCGAACGAGACTTGGAAAATTCGCAAGCTGCGCAAGCTGCTCCCTAAAATCGTAAGTCCGGGCAGGGCAAACATTGCGCGCCATCTGACAAAAGAATGCCAGGAGAAACACAAGGAGAGGAGGGAGCTGTTGCCAATGAAGAAACTGTGACTATAGGGGTTGGGAAGGATTGTGTCCCGGTGAGCTCAGAAACCCTTTTTCAAGTTGTTGTGGATGCTAGGTGACTAAAAATGCCAACATCACCCGAAAACCAGAGCCAATCATGGCACAAATGTAGCCAGTTCTGATTTGACACCCTATAGAAGTCTGAAAACAGCAATTGGATAAAAGTTCGCTTTTGTTCTGCAACTGCATGGTTCTGGACGAGTTGGACCAGTTGCCTGTGTGCCAAAAGCACTCACACAAGGCTTGGGATTTAAGAATAGGCTTGAAGACAGGCTTGAAGAACAGAGTTCCACAGCATGTGGCAGAAGATTGTGCGGGATTGGATGGGATTGGCACTTCTGTTGGTGGCCCGCCAAGTCGATTCTGTGCGAGGGATGGCTGGCTGAACCATCAAACTGGAAAGCGTGGATCACCGGATCACTCATCTTCTCCGAAGTTTCCAATTTCAGCTCCGAGGCTGCGGCGGAAGCGGTCTTCACCCTCCCTCTCCAGGCTCTCGGGGTCGACGTGGAGGAAGAGCCTCACGGCACCCACGTTGCCCTCCTCGGCCGCCTGATGGATATCCTTGCCTCGGGACACGAGCCCAACCCCTTGAGAGCTGTTGGAGGGCTCGGCTCGTTAACAGGGATACCCACATAGATACCCCCTCCAGGACGGGAAAGCCTGAAATAAAGAAACCATCATAAGACATGATGAACCCATTCTCTTGAGGCCAAGCTCTTTGGAGCTTTTTGGATTTTGATTCCCAGCACTGGATGGATTTTGTTCTTTTGCCGGCCTAGGGATGAGGATGACAAAGCAGATCTTGAGGCGTAAGATTTCCAATATCATAGAACCCTCGACAGAAAAATGTTAGGGAAAATAAAGCTAACAAATTTAACTCAACAGAAAGCTACCTTTAGCCCTTTGAGCGAATTCAACAGTCTCAGGTCTTGACAGTTTTTTGCCTTGACAGGCAAGAATGCCAACTGTTTCGCAGAACCGATCTATTGGATCATGGCAAGTTTGCCCAATGATGAAATGGTGAAACCAAATTGTCTATCCCCTGGGTGATAAACACCAACTATTTTGGGTGCCCAACAAAAACATGGCTAGATTTGCCAACAGCGACTGTTGCGGAATCAGCTGCGGGGGCCTGTCTCCCACAGCTTCTCATCCCCGTGAGGTGCCAAGGGGGGTGGAACCCCTAAAAAAGTAAAATAAAATGCAGGGGCCTAAGAACAAAATGCCAATAAAATGAGAGGGCATAAGGTAAGATTGGAAAATCCAAGCAAAATACAATGGACAGGTACGAAAAGAATATGGCGTCGGGCCCCCCCACCTGGCAACTGTTGGACGTCAGGCCCAGGCATTTTGTTTCTATTTCGTAATATCGATTGTTATGTTTCCTTAGGTCGTTGACAGACATTTGCACAGTATAATATGCGTAATCATTACAGTTTCAGAATTTCATTCATCTCTAGCATGTTTGTTATACATTAGGGTTATCGTTCTTACCCACGATCATTTCATCTTGATTGGTAATTTTGATTCATATCTAATTATGTCTTTTAGTCTTGTGATTTTATGAGTTGTTGATGAGAAAGATTACAATATCATATATTTATTTGAATGAATTCATATATGCTCCATGATGTCCAAGTGATTCCAAAACTCTGGAAGGTTTCGCAGAATGATCAGACCGTTCACAGCTGTGCATCTTTGCTATATCATGCTATCTCTGTCAGTTGACTTTATGGGTTGGGCCCCTCAAAAAATAAAATGCACCCCAAAAAAAAATGCTGGGGTTTGACCCCATTTTATTTTCAGATTTGCTTGATTTTTTAATTTTTTAAGGGGGTCCCGCCCCCTCATTCTCTTGAGGTACACCATACGAGGATGATTTTCCTCGTGAATTGCCGTGAACTTTGCAACAGCTGCAACCAACAGCCTGGCAGCTGAGACCGATATCACGTCATATCGCGTCCATGAAAGACCAAGATGGGTCTGGAACAAGCGCATACACCGGATGCAAAAAAAACGTGGTAATATATAGATCTACGAAAAGCCCATGAGAGCAGTGTCATGATGAGCGTCCATCATAGCTTCCCACAAAAAAAATGATATCCCGCATCAGGTTCACTATATGTTTTTCTGAATACAACCCTTACAGACTGGGGGTATACCGTATATAACTGACATATGCTGTATAGGTGATAATTGAAAAGTGAATAAAAATGAGGATACGCCATGAAAAATTGTAATATACCTTTAAAACAATCAGTTGTAAGTATATCTACGCTTATCTATGTATATCCTCTATTTGGTGTTATCGTTTTCCACGTTTTGTTCCCAAATCGCCTCCGGTGCCCCGCCTCCGGGTAAGCCGAGCCGCTGGAGGCCATGCAATGCCAGAGTTCCTGGTGATGCAACGGAAAGAAAAACAGGAGAAAACCTATGGAAATGTATGGAACATAAGGAAAAAACTATATGGGAACATGAATCGGATCAATGAATATTGACAACTAGTATCCACTAATAATCATAGTACACAGTGAAACAGTTAAAAAGTTGACTCAACTAATAATTCAAATTATGTTGTCGATTGGTATCATACAGAGATAAACAAGAAAAACATCTATCCAACAAAACCGGCACAGATTTGGTTTCAATATGTTTCAATCACCGCCTCAAATCAATTTCCGACCTTTGATCCGTCTCTAAGTTCGCCAAATCCAGCCCTAACCTGGGTTTAACCTCTTTGGTTGTTAACCAGCCGGGAGGGCCAGTGGCTACACCTGAATCATCTGGAGTTGCACGGGTCTCCACAGCGGTGCTTCGTGTATGCATGTTCAAAGCTGCTGGGATAGGCCCAAACCAATGGCAGAAATTCTCGGGGACACCGTTTCCTCCCCGAGCTGTGTCCAAACTCGAGTCCTTTAAGGAGATCTGATGCGTTTTCAGGTGTCAGCCTGAAGGACTGCGGCCAGCATGTTCAGTTTTAGATTCAAGCCAAAACAAGTTGCTTCATTCAAACAGCTACCAGCCACCATGAAATCTTACACCCAACAGCGAGGATAAAACATGAAAACTATATTTCACCATATCTCACCATTAAATCTGGAAAAATTCTAGAAATATGTCGTAGGGTTCTCTAGAAATATGTAGAATTCCATTCACCAAGTCTGTTCTCTACCGGAGAAACATCTGCTGCACATCCGGCTGAGGCGTTCACTGCGTTCACCCCGGAGGCCCTGGACATCCCCAGAGATCGGCCAGCTATGCGTTGCTATATGTTGCGAAAAAGTACCATGACGAGCATCAAACATCATGAAAATCAGTGGGATCAATGGATGGGCTATATCTATCATGGGTTTTAACTCATAATCCCCCTAGAATTGGCTATCATGGGTTTTAAGTTTCAATTCATAATATTTTAATATATTTTATAATATTTTATAATCCCATGCCCATGATGTGTGGTGAAAACCTATTGCAGGCACTCTGAAAATGTGCTTGTTCTTTCACTGTGATGCCTTCACCATGAAGCAATGTCGGATGCAGAACTGTTTTCTTCCGAAATGGTCTGCGACTGGAGCTGCAAACTGCGCCATGCGAAGGTATAAGCACGGGAAAGTCGACATGAAAGGTGTGTTCAGTGTCAGTGTCGTCTATTGACATGTTGATAGTGACATAGTGACAAAAGGAGCATCGGTCCAAAGCTGCAAAGCCTTGACAAATTCCTTGACAAGGCGTTAGCTGAGCGGAGGACAACTTCCACCAATGGTGTATGACTTCACTTTCCATCACCCAACGAGCAAACAATATCAAACAATAGAATGAATGGAAATCCTCTGTTTCTGGTTTTACGAATGATTTGTTCCTCAAGAATCAAGATTTTGCATCTTGCGGGCCTGCCATATTGCTTTACCTGAAGGCACCTGGGTACTTTCGGGTGTTCTTACTGTACAGCTGCCTACCAAAGACATTGATAACATTCCAGCCAGGACATGCACCAACACTCCGGATTGATTTCCCAAGGCATGCTCCCCCAATCTTTAAAGCTGCAGCTTAGTTCGGAAGATGCCCATTCGTGCGACAGATTCAGCAATCTGATCAGCAACGTGTTGGGCCTTATTCATCTGCCGATCATCTATGTACACGAGGCCATTCTTGAACACCAATTGATTCTGACAGATGCCTCGTTCGTTGTTCTGTGGCGCTGGTGGCCACTGTTCGCAGAGCCTAATCGGAAACAAGGGCAACTGGTGGTCATGAGCAAATTCAAGCTCATGGAAAGTTTCATATCCTACACCAGTGTATGCCCCATATTCCGACGTGCAAAATGTTATCATGCCTTTGGCACGCCACAATCCTATCCGTGTCAGGTCAGCAAAACTTTGGCCGACCGTTGCTTCAACCATGAAAACAGGTACATTTCGAGCTTCCAGCTGCTTCTTCACTGTCTTCATATACTCAATAATCCTCAGTCAACCCACGAAGCGTTAGACAGCTTGACTATGTCGCACCTGTTCAAAGCACATTCGATCCCCAAAACCACACACTGAATCACATCAAAATTGTGTTTTTGAGGCAAGCATCTCATTACTGTTGAAGCGCCCGCTCAACAACAAGTGTCCTTGCTGTGACGCCGCCTAAGAACTGGCAGTGCAGCAAAGCGTCAGCCATAAACACACTGAGGTTTCGGTGGGTACAGACAAGTACAATGCCCTCAAGTACCCAAAATCCAAAAATCCTGAATTAATGGAGCGATCCGAAACAAGGCAGTCCTTGTTTGAAGACGCAAATTGTTTTCGAGGGACAATGTGGTTATGGGATGTTATGGGATGTTATGGGTCAGTTCGCACCAAATTAGCCAGTGTTGATTGATTTTCATACCCCCAACATATGACAATTAGTTTTGATCCATCCCCAAGATCCTGAGTTCCCCACCGATCGCATGTCAGTCGAGGCAGCTGACGATGCCTGGCAGCACGGCGCACGTCTTGCACAGCGAGATAGATCTGGAGTTGGATGGATCTGAAGGTTGCACCATTTCGAGTGGATCTTGAAGAATCCGCTGAATGGACTTGACTTGGAGAATATCCCCAATCAGTATCAAGATGTAACAAGCATGTAATGACGGAGTTTTTCCAAACTTCGCCATGGGGAACCCCGGGGTAACCAGGGACTGCAGGTATCCACCAATTCAATCCAATTCAGTGATCCAAAACAAAGTTGCAGCCCTTCATGTCGGATAATGCACAAGGGACACGACTTTCACTGCATCCCCGCAAAATGGTGTTCAATGCATTGCCCAAAGAAAATCAGCACCATCTAATCTCCCAGTTTGACAACAGGTTTGGCGTCACAAGCCTTGGAACAACAGGTCAAATCTAAGAGTTGCAGAATTTCCATCACAGTGCCCACTATATGGGCACCGATCAAGTTACCCAAAAAAAACAAAATGAAGAACATCCGATGTTTTGACTTATATTAATACATGAATCATAATACGTCCGCACAAAGATATCCTACCTGTGTGGTCACTAGATATGGTTCAAAATACTCAAAGTATAAGAATGTATAATAAAGATTAATAAAGAACACCTGTGGTCTCATACACCTTTCATTTCCACCGTACATGACATTACCACCATCTCTCCAAGAAGGACCCTCCAAGGAATCTCCGAGTCACCGTTGGGTTCGGCACCCCGGAAGATCCGACAGCACCTGCAACTGCGGGCGCCTGCGAGGCTGCGGCGTGTTCGGAGTTGTTGAGATGGGTCTGGAGGTTCCAACATCAATTTTCAGAAGTGTCCGGTCACCTTGATTTACAGGTTCTACAGATCTACTGGAAAACGTATGAAATTATTAATTGTCAATTGATATTGTAGTCATATTCCAATCATCCGAATAAGCAATGAGCGCAGATGTAGCAAGTATGGTTCGAAGAAAAAAACACAACGCCCCGCCATTGCCCCGCCTGTGATGCAGATCCAGCTGTGGATGAAGGATGCGGAGATGGAGCAAGCTGTGGTGCAGGAGTTGCTGATCGAATTGGCACTTCAAATTCAAAGTGGTGGTTCTGTCCTTGAATCTCCACATCAAACTGTAGCCCGGACTGGGCATACACTCTGCACGGCAAAGGCAGCCGGTCAAAGAGGATCTTCATTGTTGATTTTTTCCCAGCCTGATATATTTCTAATTCTTCGTCGTGTCGGTACGTTCCGAGTTGAAGGCTGGGGCCGCATCTGCAGAGGCGTTTCAAGGCATCGTCGTCGGAGCAAAGCAGCTCCAACCCCCTTTGGCAGAAATTGCAGCCCACGTGCATGACCACAATTTGTGCGTGCCCACCCTGTGGATGGAGGAACCCGAGGCCTTTCAGAGGAACCCGCTCGCCGGTGATAACTAGGTCACAAAAGTGATCGAGCATCACCGTTGCGCAACAGTCGTCGAAAATGACGCTGTGGACTTTCTCCCAGCCAGTTGTTGTGGATCTCCACAAAGTGCTTGCGCCAGCACACATTGGCAACTGGACCTGACGGGTTTCTGGCACTTTTATTGGCCGGGGGTCCATGGGTCATCTATCGTCATGTATGGCATTGTATGGCTATGTGCCCCAACACAAACCGATTCCCGATTCTCAGCAGGGCACTAGGTTGGGCATTCATTTTCCACTCTATAACAATAATGGCAGCAAGATTTATGTCTGACATCTCTACGAATGTTCAAGAACGATGACGGTTGGCTCTCCCATAGCAGGCTTCGCAGCCCAACACCAGAAGCCCCAGGCAGAACGACGAAGAAAAGAACTGCAGCTGAGTCAAAGATGGTATTTTGATGTATTTTGATCACCGGCACGGGTTCTAACCTATCTCCGTAGATCACAGTTTTCCATGTCCAACTCTCCCAGCCTTCACGGGTGCAGGGAAGGTTCGATCTTCCGGAGTGAGCCGGAGGAGTCGAGCCAGGGGCACGTGGCCGGCAGGCAGCGCCTGAGCTGGTTTCAAGTGTGAAAGAATGCAAACAAATGTGTGGATTATATTATAAGATATTATATGTCTTGATTATACACACACGTGCATGACACGATCATGAGTTGCAAGCAGAAGTGAAGTGATCCAGATCTTACCTTGCAAGACTTCCCACCTCTCAATTTGCTTCCCGCCACCTGCCTAGGGAATGTACCTGTCCACCGGTCTCAAGGCGCAGATGCAAAGGAAGATGATTGTTCGCAGCTTGTGCTAGACAAGATGCCTGCTCCAGAGCTGAGACTTCTTTCAAGTCGCTCCAGTTCTCGAGAACCTCGATTTGTGGATCGAAGCCCTCGAAAATGGCCTGCTGCGCCATCAGGCGAATGCCGTGCCCGAAGTCCTTGATTTCGACGCCATCCTATCCGGTCCCATCTGTTTTTTTCCCACAGTCACAGTCGCTCTGCAACAGAGATCCGTTGCCAAGGTTTGTTTGCAAACAAAGGGCCGCCTTGCCAGGAATCCTTGAAATTTGAACTTTGGATGAAAAAATACGAAACATCGATTGGAAGCATTGAGAATTCACACTCTCCCGACTCAAGATGAGAAAAAGGATGAAACTTGTACGAATGAATACGAATGAATATGAAGCTTCAGCCGCTTCAGCCAATGACTTTATCCCCTCCTCAGGCATGGAGGGGTCTGCAGGTTGGGAAGGCGCCTGGGTACAGAAAAAGCCAGGACTTCGAATGTCGCTTTCACATGCAGACTCTGTCCGCTTTGCAGGTCACCCTTAACTTATGATTATGGCACATGATGACTGAATACCGATTTGTTCAGTGGAACAGCAATAAGACAACTTTCATCCCAATGCCCGGGTGTGTCACACATGTCACCTGAAGTGTTGCCCCCGCCTGTGCTTCAGGATGTCCCTCTTCGAGAGCATCTTCCTAAGAAAACACCAAATCGCAAGTCCAAATGAGACAGAGAGAAGAAAACTTAAAATGGGGAGTGCGTAACACCTCGCACAGGGTACAACAGCCATGTGGACATATGATATTGTGGTCAACTTGGATTCATGGTGGATGTGAACACTCATCCACATTGCCTGGCAAAAGGCATTCTGCCCTGGTCTTTTTTGGCTTGCTGCAGTACTACTGTCTCAAGCACTTGTGCCGATTACCCCTCATCACGGTCGCAAGTCATGTTGCAGCAGCTGCTGCCAAGGCACTGAAATCACGGCGGTCAATGTATTGCCCGGCACAATGTGCGCTGCAGCAAGCTCCATGCTTTCATCCCTGGGCACAGACCGCCATAAACTGATCCAATTCAGCAACTGATGTCACAGAAGTTACTGGTGGCATAGAATATCAACCCAGCTTTACACCCAGCAGCAGAGTAAGCAACAAAAAACATCTTCGTGCAGGTGATTGTTTCTTTCAAACTCGCAAGAGTTTTCCTTAAAATATCAGGCCAATCAACTATACACACCGGCAATGTAAAAACATGTAAAAACAAGCCAATGATATGAAGAGGCCTACCACCAATACCCAACAAGATTGTTTCCCACGTGAGACAGGATTATACAATTTCCATCAGCTGGGCAGAAGGGTCAAAAAGTTCTGTGCAGCCAAGTAGCAATGGCTCCTGGTTTTGTCCAATGATGTGTTTAATCTTGACGCCGAGCTTTTTCCTCGGATCCACTGGACAGGGTGTGCAGCAGGCATCAACAGGCTGCAGTCAGGTGAACCCCGAAATGCCCCGCAGCAAGGGTCCACTGATCCATTTCGGAACTGGATGAGATGACTCATTGTTTGTGGAAAAGACAAGTACCAAGCGTGTACCAACTGTAGTGGCGCTTGATGGCGCTTGCTACTTTGCATGAGGTCTTCCATGATTTGGAGGTCTAAGTTTCGTTTCAAGATTGTGATTTGAAGAGTGTCTGAAAAATACTTTATTCAAAATGCCCTTCTCAAATTATGATCCCTAAAACCTGCAACCTGCACCCAACCTGCACCCAACCTGCACCCAACCTGCACCCAACCTGCACCCAACCTGCACAACTGTCGTGTCAGAAACAAACTGCTGTTGCCATCTGTTGCCAGGTTTTCTAGACGTCAATTGAGCTGTTCCCCTGTGGCTCCCAGTCATCCTGGAGCTCATCTCTGTGCCAAGGCACTCGGCCTCTTCCTTCAACTCCAACACAGTTCGCTCCTGTGATGAATCGCCTCAGTTCGGTTGGGTTTGATCCAATCTTCACGGATGCACAACACGGATGCACAAGTGAGTGGACTGCTGACTCCGTCAATGTGGTGCCTCAACACAAAACATGTCATGGGGTGGGATGAAGATGCAAATCTCTTTTCTTGGCAGTCCATTTCATTTGAAAATATGGTGTCGTTCTTCATCGTTTTGCTACTGCAACGTCGAATGCGTCTTGTAACTTATATGTTGGATGAGTGTGCGCTTGCTAAATGAAATTGCATTTTCCCGAAACCTGGAAAATTGGTACTTTCCAATGTGTAACTTCCGGTCCCCTTGAATTTTGGAGGGGCGTCCACAATGTCAGATTAGATTTTGCAGGTAAAACCTTCCTAAACGTAATGATTTTCTTTGAAGATGCAATTTTCTTGGATGAGCCGGTCCCACAGAAAGTGAAAACATGCGCAAAAGGTAACATTTAAAACAAAGTTGATGGAGGCGTTTCCAAACAACCCAAATCTGGATGGGTGGGGGGCAAGAAAATGTACTGTAAGTTACAATTTGCCGGCCCCCGCATCCCCATGTCCATGGTCACAACATACCTACTGCAACCTAGTCCAGTTTTGGGATGCAGGACAAGGATGCACAACAGTGTGGACTCCGTCAACATGGTGCCTCAACACGAAACATGTCATGGGGTGGGATGAAAACGCGAATCCCTTATCCGGGCAATCCAAGTGTCTTGAAAACCAATTATTCATGTTGTTTCAACATTTTGCTGGTTCTATTATGGTAATACTATGTTGACGGTCAACAGGTCGAATCAATAGGCACTTCACCATGGCGTATCATCTATGACGTTTTTTTCCACTGACGGTCAGATACGGTCAGCAGGTATTCCTCGGATCATCTACCCACAACGCCCAGGTGCAACGGCAGCTTCGGCCACTCAGTAGAGCCACAAAGACCTCGGTGTTTTTTCATGGCGCCGACACAACTGTGGTGCTTAGGGCAAGGAACATGGGGGATGCACCAGGTCTAGTTCAGGCAAGAAAATCAATGATGGGCCAGAATCAACTAACGGGACATTGTGGAAAAATGTTTGGAGCACCAATCCTCTGCGAAGCAAACAAGTATAACAAGTAGGGTGAGAGCAATGGGTATATAGATCCCTATCAACGACGGGATGACCATTGCCCTTTATGGGAAATCATTCCATGTCTTGACCATCGCACATTTAACAACAAACAACAACAAGAAAGACAATTGTTAAATGGTTGGATATACAACAAACAACGACAAGAAAGGTAGTTATGAAATATGGTTGGATATCTGTGGCGATTAGATTTAGTTTGATAGTAACGTAGATCCCCATGTTTGATGGTTTCATCCTCATGTCTGGTGGTCAACTAATACATGATACAAACTTCCAAATACTTTTGATGGGTAATGTTTTCTCATGTCCGTTTATCGTTCAGCTCCCATAGTATCCAGAATGTTTGATAATATCATGGGTTAGACTGGTAATATGAGATACGTGATCCATGATGGTTGATCTTCGTCATGGCTCCAGAACGGCTGCCAAGAGGCTGGGCGCAGGAGGCCCATCACCTGGCGGTGGCCCTCCACCTCAGCCAGGTCGTAAGGCGTTTGGCCTGAGATGCGACGGCGGCGTTTTGGCGTGGGAACTCGGAAAGTCCTACGGATGTGGACAGATAAATCAAGATAAATCATTTTCTCAGGTTTAAAAAAAACACTCAGGGCATTTGCCATGCCGAGTTTTTAGTTTCTGGTCAAGTCTGGCAAATCAATGCTCATGGCTTTGATTTGAAGGATCCGATATGTTTCCTTTTTTCAAACTCTGAACATATCGGCAACAAATCAAGACAATCATTACATTCCACCAACTTGCCGTCTTTTCTGACAGGATGTCTCTGCTCATAGTTCATGCCATACAACCGTTATCAACCGTTTCAATTTTTCAAAGGAAAGATGTGGGATCAAGCCCAAAGTGATCAAAAGTTCCAAATCCAATGAACATTTGTGACCACGTGCCTTCCACTCATGTCCCCCATGTTTCGTCATTTCTTTTACCCGAATTTCAAGAGGCCCATCCCATCACAAAAGTGGGTCCTTAAACGACAAGTACGAGTACCACTCAACATCTCAAAGCAAAGAAGGAAAATCACCTGCCAATGTACGAACCCCTTCCGTCACCTCGCCAGAGCCACTCCCAAAACGACCCGAAAACCCTTCCGGGGCCACGGCCGTCCCAAACCGGCCGCGTCCACCGTGGCCCCCGCAGAGATCAGCTGCTGGACCACGGCGGCATGGCCTTCCAGAGCCGCCCGATGCAGCGCCGTCCGGCCTCGAGCGCCCAGGATGCGACACGGAAGGCGGGGCGGCTGCGACTGCCGTGGAGAAACAAGGCGTATAGTCATGAGATGTTTCTCCGGGTGGTTGGGCAAAAAAATGTGGATAGGTCATATAGATAGAAGATGATAGAAGATCTGCCAAGCTGATACTTTTTGTATGTTTTAGTGTGAGGCATGGCCCAGGCATGGCGAAAAACAAGAGGAGCAATCATCACAAAATATCTGTTATTGCTCTATCGTGTTGTTTAAATCTTACAAGCAGTTGCACCTGACTTTCGCAACATCATGTGTCACGTGTTTAGAAATTATTTCTTGAATAATTTTGGACTATCCAAGTGCGGATAAACCGTTTTCTCAACTTAACAAATTACAAGAAATAAGATTCTTTAGGGATTGCCAAAATTGAACAAAATGGAGTAAACTCATGTCATGAAGACAGGAAAATTTGATGAATTTTGATTAAACAAATATGATGTTTGCGTGCCTTGGACACCTAAATATGCAATGGGATTGACCCAAACACTCACGGCATTTGTCATGCTGAGTTTTCAATGTTTCGTCGCGTCAAGTCTGGGACAATCAATGCCTCACAGCTGTTCTTTCAGGGATCCCAATCCCATGTGTTTTCCATTTTCAATCTCAGGATACATGCCTGCAACAAAAATAAAATCACTACATTCTACCGCTTGCAGTGAAAATATCTGGCAGCTCTGCTGTCAAAATTTGTTCCATACGGCGATCACAATTTCAAAGGCAAATGTGGGATCAAACACAAAATAATCAAAAAACAAATCCAGTGAAC